AGTTATTTTACTAAGTTTAATAGTAAAAATTCACCTATTATTAAACTTACTTTGTAAAAGCTATCTTTGAAATTTTTAGTGTAATTACTAATAATTTTCTTAATTAAAACTTTAAAATAAAAATTAAAATAATTTTATATTTGATTTGATCAAATATTTGATTTGATTTGATTTGACAAATATTTGATTCAATTCGATCAAATTTAAATTGCTTAAATATTTGATTCAATTCGATTTTGAAGAATCCTATACAATATATTAATTAGACATATAAATTCAACTAATAATAATATATATAATATATTAATTAAACATATAAAATTTAACCAAAAATAACATATACAATATATTGATTAGATGTATAAAATCCAATCAAAAATAAAATATTCAATATACTGATTAAACATATAAAATTTAACAAAAAATAACATATACAATATACTGATTAAATATATAAAATTTATGTAAAATTATGTATATAATATATAGATTAAACATATAAATTCTGTATTTTTCTACATACAGAAAAAGACAATTTTCAGTATCTAGTATACAGAAATATTTATGAATTTATTATACTGTTTTTCTATGTATGTTATACATTTTTTAAACATATTATTTCTATATACTTTTCTTATACAGATTATTTATAGGAATTATATTTTCTTTGTTATTTAAACATTTAAATTTTTAATTATAATAATCAAGATAATGATTTAGATTATTTTACAGATAAGCATTTAATTTTACTTATTGATTTAATATTACTAAGTAATATTTATTTTTTTAATTTTTTTAATTTTTTAAATTTAAAGATTTAATAAAAGTAATATTTTTTATTAAAATTTTAATTTTTATTACATTTTAATCTGATACTATAAAAAATTAAAATACAATAAAAATTAAAATTTTAATGAAAAATGTTTAGAGTCACATTTTCTAGCAAACCTCCTATATACTTATTTTATATTTTAAAATAATTTATAGTAATTTCTTTATAAGAATACCTTTTTAAATATTCTAAAAGTATTAAAAAAAGTTTGATTATGTGATTCTATTACTAATATTTGAAAAATTATATCATTTAAAGAAACTTGTATTTCTTCTAATTTTACTATGCAAATTTTCAACATAAAATTAATAAAATAATTTTGAATTGCTTCAAAAAATAGATCTTTTCAATAAAATATATTAATGGAATATTATTATAATTTTTTTTTCATTTTAAAGTAAATGTTTATAATCTAAAAATTATACTTATATATTATTATAAGATCCAGATCAAAATATTATACAATAGATATTTAAAGCTGCAGATATTAAATTACAGTCAACTCTCTCTAAGTGTATTCCTCTTGGAAGCATAATAAAAATTTGAGAAAATGTGCACTTAGAGAGGGTATGTATTTAGAGAGAGAAATTTTATATGATTTTATATACTTAGGATTGAATAAGAGTGTGTATTTAGAGAGAAAATACATAATGCATGCATTTAGAGAGAATGTATTTAGAGAGAGTTGATTGTATCTACACTACTCTATATAATAAATTTCTGGATTTTATAAATTTTACTTAATAATATATAGTAAAATTGAAGATTTTTAGATTGCATAAAAGTTTATGAATTTTTAATAAATTTTATTCTAAATTTTTTTATTTAATAACCAATCAATTATAATTTTAAAAATATAATTCAAAAATATTCTATTTATAAAATACTGAAAAAATACTCATTTGTAAAATGATAGACAACATAATTTTATATATAAAAATGCAAAAAAACATATAAAAAAATTGTTGCTTATTCTTCAATATGAGAAAACTTTTTTATATTCTAAAAAATTTCTTTTTTCATTTTATATCTAAAAACTATAATTGATTAACTATCACTTATAAATATATATTATTAAGTAAAATTTATAAAATCCGGAAATTTATTGTAGGGCAATGTATCTAATGTTTGATATTTAATATCTTTACAAAGTAATATAAATTTTCAATTCATGTTGAATTTGCTAATTTTAAAAGTAAATAATTTTTCAAGGTTTGGATTTTTTGCTATTATTTTATTTTACCTACATAAAGAATTTTAAAGTTCAAATAAAGTTTATTAAGATATAGTTTTAAAAAAAAAAAAAATTGTAGAAAATTGTCTAAAAAGTATTTTATATCCTTATGGACCATAAGTATTTGATATTTTATTATATATAATGTTTATAAAGAAATTAATTTCTATTAATTTTAATTTTGTTAAATTTCAATCTTATTCATAAGCATTTTTGATAGAATTTATAAAATCTCCAACAGAATGTTCTTTATGGCAATCATACCAACTTCCATCTTTAATACATCTTTTTTTTCCATTAATAAAAATGGTGCAACTTTTATTTGCTTGATAAGCATTTGCTCTTTTAATGCTTTCAATAAATAAATTCAATCCAGTATCAGAATCTACACATTTGTCTATTGAACCATAATCCTGACCAACTTCTTCTGAGCATTGTTTAGCCCATTTATGTGAACCAATTCTATTAATTGAACGATGAGTACATAATAAATAATCAAAAAAAATCAAATCATTCGGATTAACTTTGTGAAAGCAAAGTTCTTGAATATTTCCTAGGAAAAGATTAAATCAATAGAGATTTTAGTAAAAATAAATTTTAGAATTATAATAAAATTGGATCAATACCCTTGCATTCTAGATCTCCATGTTTGCAAGTAGCTTTGTATGTAGCAGAGGAATTTAATGTTGCAATGTAATTGGTTTTAAAAGTTGAAATATCGTTTGCTTCTTTCGCTATTTAATTTCGGTTAAAATACAAATCTGTTAAAAATAAAATTAAAAAACGGCTAATTAATTTATCTAATTAATTGTTACATACCAACTTCTGCCATAACTGCTTCACATGCGACAGCGTCTGGGCAACGACTCATCACAAATAATTCCACCAGAACTTTCTCTTTTTCAATAATAAATTGTTCATTCTGAGAAACAAAACGTTTTCCTAGAATAAAAAGAAAATAAACAAAGATAAAAAATAATAAAATAGGTCGCCAATAAATTTTGGGCATTATTTCGTAAAGAAAGTGGAAAGTAAGAACGTGGAAATTGAATTGGTTTGGAATTTAAAAATGCTGTAACAACCACGAGGCACAAGTCCAAAATAGTCACCATCCTAAATTCTGATTGGTTTAATATTGAAGCATTTCAATTTTTCAATTACGCGTCTTTAGGTCTTTAATTTTTAGTCCCAATTTTAAATTTGTTCGGCTTAGCTTAATTCCTCATAGAAACCATAGAAACACGAAATAGAAATGGAAGTTATTAAACCCAAAACAAACTATACTAAAGATAGTGGTAAGTAAACGCGTTATAATAACATTTGGTATTCTTATGATGAGTATAATACTAAAATCGCGATAAATGCCTTTATCGATTCAAAAGAGGAAATAAACCTTTTTTTTGAGAAATATCAAGATGCACAACAGAATAGCATGGAATTAGAAGTGGAAAATATGGATGTTGACGTGGAAACCGTACATCCTTCAAAATATATTCAAAAGCTTGTGAGTTATCTCTAAATGAATTAAAGAAAGTGATACTTTATATAATAGCTAAAGTATATCGAAATTTCGCAATTTAGAGGGCAGTAGCGAATCGAGAGGGTGATAAAATTATTTTTGAGCTGGATGATATTCAAGCAGTAATTAAAATAAAAATTTTTTCTTATTTCTTATTTTTTTTTTTTTTTTGGTTTTTATTAATCTAAATTTTGTTGATATTTGATAACTTGTTTAGTTTGAAGATGATGGAAATGTTACCAATGGTTTGGTTCGCAAAATTATGACTAACACTTGGCGTTATATTGAATTAATTTATCGAATTTGTGATAAATTAATGCCTGTACCTATGAACCCCATTGGTCACATGGATGATGTTTTGGATGTTATCATGCAACATAGAAAGGATAAAGATCAAAGTAGAGTACCCGAAGATAGAACACGCTTTCCATCTGCTTTAACGAGAAGATAGTGAGTTTCCAAGTCGAAATACATTAAAGCGCCCAGAATAAAACTAATAATTTGTTTATTTATTTATTATTAAAGTTCACTGTATTTGAAACCATTAAACTCTGAAAAAACACTGGCTATTCGTGAAGTAAATGGTTCTAACGTAGGTCATTTGGTAACAGTCAAAGGAATTATCACACGAGTCAGTGATGTTAAACCTTTCTTATTAGTTGCGGGATATTCATGTGAAATGTGTGGTGATGAAGTGTTTCAAGAGGTCACCAAAAAGAATATTACACCACTTATGATGTGTCCTTCCGAGAAATGTCAGAAAAATAATGTGAAAGGAAAATTATATATGCAAACTCGAACATGCAAATTTGTCCCATTTCAAGAAGTTAAAATGCAAGAATTGGTAAATAAAATTTTATAAAATTTTAATTAAATAATTGTTATGATCATATTATTAATAATATTTTTATTTATTTTTATTTTATTTTTTTAGACTGAACAAGTTCCAGTGGGTCATATTCCTCGATCCATGACAATATTTTTGCATGGAAGTTTGACGCGTTCGATGAATCCTGGCGACATAGTTAGTGTTTCTGGAATTTTTCAAGCGACACCTCATCATGGTTATCGGGGTACAACTAGTCTGTTAACTGATGTTTATTTAGAAGGTCAATATATAAGTCAGCTGAAAAAGCAATACAATAAAATGATAACAACTCCTGAAATCTCGGAAAAGATACAAGAGCTTGCTCAAGATCGAGACATCTATGACAAGTTGTCAAAAAGTATTGCACCAGAAATATATGGTCACGAAGATGTAAAAAAGGCTTTGTTGTTATTATTGGTTGGAGGAGTATCAAAATTCATGGGCGATGGAATGAAAATTAGAGGAGACCTGAATATATGTCTTATGGGAGATCCCGGTGTTGCCAAATCTCAGTTGCTTAAGTACATATCAAAAGTAGCACCACGTGGAGTATATACTACTGGACGTGGTAGTTCTGGAGTTGGTTTGACAGCATCTGTGACTCGTGATCCCGTAACCGACGAAATGATTTTAGGTAAATTCGAATTATCATGAACCCCTGTTTTTGATACTTTAAGCGTTAAGTGACCATCTATTTATGTTATATTCAGAGGGTGGTGCTCTAGTACTTGCTGACAATGGTATCTGTTGTATCGACGAATTTGATAAGATGGAGGATGGCGATCGAACAGCCATTCATGAAGTTATGGAACAACAAACTATAAGCATAAGTAAAGCCGGTATTACGACTACGTTGAATGCACGGACATCCATATTAGCTGCCGCGAATCCTCAATATGGACGATATAATATAAAGAAATCTCCAACACAAAACATAAATCTTCCTGCTGCTCTTCTGTCTAGGTTTGATATTTTATTTTTGATTTTGGATAAGCACAACGTTGAAGATGATGCCAAATTAGCGGAGCATGTCGCGCACGTGCATCAGCATGGTAAACATCCAGAAATGGAAAGTGATATTTTGGATGTTCAAATGATTAGGTAAATAAATGTATATCATCTCTTTGAATTTTGATAATTTTATTTATAATCACTTTTATTTATTTAGACATTATGTTGCCGAAGCGCGTTCAAAACGTCCAGTTGTTCCACCTGATGTTTCATCGTATATGGTTTCTTCTTATGTTCAGATGCGTCAAGAACAGGCAGATGCAATGGCTAACAAAAAAGCACACACTTATACTAGTGCACGTTCGCTTTTGGCAGTAATTCGTTTATCTCAAGCATTGGCTCGTGTTCATCTGAGAGACGAAGTCATGAGACAGGATGTTAGCGAGGCATTAAGACTACTTGATGTCTCTAAAGAATCATTGAATAAAGACGAAGATGATAATGAAGGAGATGATAATGAAGGAAATGATAGTGATGATAATGAAGGAAATAATGATGATGATGATGATGAAGGAAGTAATGACGAGGATAAGTAATAAATAACTAAACCAAACTTCAAATCCAATTTTACGTTAAGTAATAATATGTAATAGAGTGTGCTCTTTTTATTTCTAGCTAATATATATATATATATAGATAAAAATCACACGATTTTGATTACTGTAATAATGAACCCTCTCATATTTTTGAATATAGAAGTGTCAAAAGAAATATAATGTTTTTGAGTGAATTTTAATTCGTTATTCCAATCAATTTATTTATTTTTTTTATTTCAAATCTTCGTCATCGAAATCATCAAGAAAATCTATTCAAAGAAATTGTAAGTAAATTAAAAAATTATAGCATAAAATGAAAATTTTAAATTTATTACCATTAAAAAAATCCGCATCCACAGTTTTGTCACCCTGTTGATTTTGTCGATGATGAGTGCCACCTTTATGGTGTTGTGGATGTGTAGGACTTGGAAAGAAACCTTCATCGTAACCTCCATGATGACCATGATGACTACTACCTTCTCTCATATAATTTGAAGGGTGATATGAAGGTCCAGCGGTTCCATCTAACTGACCATCTTCGTATTCGTCCATTGCCATAGGATCAAAGTAATCTTCCCCTTGAATAATGACCATTTGAACAAAAAGAATTCATTAATATACATAATATTATTATACATCGGATGTTAGAATATGCTAATATCGTAGAAAGTTACTTCAAAAAGGTAAAACTAGGGTCTAAAAAATAAATCTAAACAATATATAATTTTTTTTTTTAACTTACCGTCACCTTCTGCCATTTGAGACATATTGTCGCTTTTAATTTTATCGTTAGAAATTTGCTTTCTTTTACCTATCGTGAAAATTTGACTAGTTTTTTAATTGTTTAAAAAGAATATAATAAAAAAGCGTTTGGTTTTTATTGTTACTTGCCTCAGAATAAAATAAAATCGACTCAAATAGTCTTAAAGACCCACATACCAATTTCCTAAATATATCCATGGATTTAACATAAAAAAAAAATCATGACGTTTTAAAATAATTGTCATACCTTTAATTCTTATTTAACATAGATAATCAAGTCGCGAAGAGTGAATAATTGGAAAATGCGTTAGGAATATTTCCAGTACACTATTTGTTAAAGACACTCATTATTATCTTGTGGTAGCATCTTTATTTATCTTATTTTATTTGAACAAAAATTCTTTCATCTGAAAACTTTATTTAAATAGTCAATTTTAAAATTTAAAATTATAAAAAACTAATTATAATACAGCAATTCGTATTTCTAAGTATTTCAATAAATAAATGAATGTAAGAGCAAATAAGTTGCATATTACGTATGTAATTCATTTTTATTATTTTTTTCCTCAATAACCAAATTTTCGACATCCGTAATATTATTATCGATTCCTTCTAAATTTACTTTACAAATGTCTTTAGCTTCCTTTCTCAACTCATACAATTGACCAAGTTGTTGATCATTAAATCTTTCTAATTTATCCAAATCAATTTTCTTCCCATACGTTGTAATATTTTCGGATTTGGCGGAAAATGTTTGAGCTCCTAATACATCCAAATAAGTTTGCCATTGATCAAGAAATCCCACAATATGAATAGGATTTGTAATATCTTTATGACGTTTAAATTCAGCTTTAACATAATTATCACCGATTGATCGTAATGAAGGTGGTAACGACCGATGAGAACGTAAAATTTTTCGATAAAGAATTAAAGGTGGAAAGAGGTTTTTTGCTTGTGAAATTAAAGTCATTTTTTTTTTTTTGTTTAATTTCAAAAATTCGATCTTACTACCCTTTATATTTGAATGTTGGGAGCATTAGCCGCAGTAAATCTTAACGGCCAAATTTGGAAAACGTGAAGAGCTCGCGTCTTTTGTTCTCTTGCATGACTTTTTTATTTTTTCTTGGAGAATCTATTTCCTCGAACTTTGATTTTATACTAATACAAAATTTTTAATAAAGCATATCTTTGAATTCAAATTATTGTTTTATGTTTTATTTTTTAATTTTTTTTTTTTTGATCGAGATTCAATAAACGTCCTATCTTTACTGCTTAGATTTTTATTTGTATAAATAAATAGATAGTCTGAATTATCGAATAATAATCAACTTGGTATTATCGTTAACCTGTAATTTGAAGAAAAGACTTAATAAACCTAAATAGATAAACATGAACAGTGACTTCGAAGATTCAAGAATTACAACAAATTGGTTGGAAATTCTTCCTTATCATCCAATATTTAATTCTGAGAAATTAGGAAAAACCCAAGAGGATTGTAAGCTATTAATTTATTGTTTAAAAAACTCTTAATGTTTTCGTAAAATTATAATTGGAGACTGAAAATAATATTATATGTATATTCTCAAGTTCAAGGGTTGAAGTTTTACGGACAACCGAGAACAAAACCATCATGTATAACAGCTACAGGCAGCAAACTTCTCATTGTTGCTATAGATTCTGAGATAAGAATCTTAAATTTAATGGAATTCAAACTTGCATGGCGTAAAGCATATGATCTTGATCAATTGAACACGCTTGAATTTGATGAGTATTTACCGGAATGGATGGCCAATGTTAAATACATCACACTTGACACCCCCTCAATAAAATACACTATCCGTTCGCTTATTGTCAACTTTAAGGAAAAAGGAACGTTACTTTCAGTGATTGGTGATTATGAAGTTTCCGTGGTAGTCATCCCGAAAGCTGTATTTTCAGAGACAAGCAATGACAAAATCACTTGCAAGTTAAGATGATATCAATTATTCAAAACATCTTTGTTGGATTTATTCCTTTTTAATATTTGAACTCATTGTCATTAACTTATGTGTCGACCTTCAACAGAGCCTACAATGTCGGACCATATTATCATATTCTAGGGCAAAGCCCTATAGCAAAGGTATTATGGCATCCCATGAGCGATTCAGGTTCACACTTAATGGTTCTTACGGAAGATATGCGCTTAAGGTTTTAAACATTTTGAAAGTTATGAACAATCTTTTTAACTATTCTCGTCGATTAATTTAAGTTTCTGAATTTTTAGAATGTATAATGTAATTGATGATGTCAATGAACCTGAGCAATCCTTTATTTGTACTAATTCTGAAAACCCCCCCAAAAATCTGAGAGCTGTGTCATTCTGTTTTGGGCAGTCTTCTGAAGCTTGGGGTAATTTGGTGATATACATCTTAACAAATGTGGGAGAGATATATGCTATGTGTCCGATCGTACCAAGTAGATGGTAGGAGTAAGAAGAGAATTAATAACTCGCTTTTTTATTCGAAATTTTGGTTTATTTATGAATTGTTTTTTTTTTTTTTATTAGTGTTTGTGAAAGATCTTTCCTCGAGATGCTCTCGAGTTATATTAAACGTAAACATGAATATGGTCAGGAGATAGTTGAAAAGACTGGTGGACATAACTATTTGGATATTCTAGCACAATATCATTTACAATTTAAATGGATTAAAAGAGTGATGAATTTCGAAGGTCACTCTAAAAGAGTTGTTTTTAGTCCTCCACCATTTGACCATTTACGAGTTGAAGTTCAAGGACCATTCGATATTCATCCGAACCCGTTGAATATATCCGAACATACATATGAAGCCAGTGATATATTGATGTTAGAAACGGAGCCTCTTAACGTTTTGATAGTAGCTTTCAATAATGGTCGAATAGACATTTGTCTTGAGGTCGAAAAGGTTGAAGCTAAGTGGCAAATTCCAATTATCGTAAGTTAGTGAACTTCTTTTAAATTGAAATCGTAATTATAGTTGATGAATATAAAAAGATTTTTTTTTAATTTATGTCATTTGTAACAGGAACCTGGAGAAGTCATTGCCCATAATATTATACTTTATGAATGCATCGACCTTGGCTATATCAAACACTATGTTGTACCAACTTTGGGTTGTATACCACAACTTACAACGTCAATAAATCATCCATGTCTCGTACCGGATCCTTATTATCGAGACACATTTTATGTATACCATTTGGCGGGTGCACATGGAATCAATGTTAAAGTATGGCTAGAAGAACTGCGAAAAGCTGTAAATGATCCAAGGAATAAGGGTTCTTCATCAGAACATATCTATGAATCATTTTTTTCAAAAAACCTTAAATCACAGATTAATTGGATTGTTTGTACACTTCCAAGGTAAACTTTAAATAATCTCTTATTTATTTTTAAATTCGAATATTAAAATTTGACATCTTGTATATAGTGATCCGGATCCTTTAATTGGACTCACAATAATGGAAGACATACAATTGTGCCATGCTGCATTTATGCTTTCATCTACATATGGTTTCGTTTACCATGAATTATCGGCTCGTAAATTCTTAAAAGCCTCTAACAATATTCTTTTTTTTAACGAGGAATTAAGTCCTACAATAACTTCTGACCTACCTAAAGTTAATCCAATGCCAGAAATTTTGACTAAATTTTTAAATAATCAAGGTCTTTCACGTCAACCAATAATGGTATCATCACGTAGTCAACAAAATAATCAAGGAAAATCTTCTTATGAAATTGACATAGAATTTCTTCATACTGTAATGGGAAATATTCAAAAAGATGTTTATGGACTTAAAGAAGCTGCGTGGGCTCTTCAAGAGAGGTAAAAAAAAAAAAAAAGAATTCTTTCATTTTAAATTTCATTAATTTTAGATTAATTGTCGAAATTCATTTAACATATATAACAGGTTCATTTTTCAAACTAAAGAATTTCACCGCCAAGTTGTTGAAATAGCCAATTTACGTAAAATAATTGAAAGTTATTCTGAAGATAAAATACAACAATTGAATGAGCGGTTGAATACTTTGAGAAATAAACAAAAGTATCTTGATAGTAAAGCTGATAGATTCATTCAAAGGATAATGAATAAAGGGGACCTCACTTTAAGTGAATTTGAGAAACAATATTATGATTCCTTGGATAAAATAGCAAAAGAAATTAAGGGCGAAAATGGTCTAAAGAACAAAATAATGATGGTTAATCATCTTTTCTTTATTGAAATTCTTTATATTCACAAAGATTACTTAAATTTATTTTTTAATTTCATTAATAGCTTCAAAATCGTCACGAGTATTTGCAAAAGGATTATAAACTTTTACAACCTGAACCGGAAAAAGATCAATTAGGACAACCCATAGTCCTCAGTGGAAATCAATTAAGCAAAGTAGAAGATGCGTTGGGTCAAGAGTAAGTTATCAAATAATTACAAAAATATAATAAATTCTTATTCTAAAATTCACTTTTCCATTTTTATATATATTAGATTGGAACTTATTGATAAAAATAAACAATTGATTGAAGAGGTTCAAGAAAAGTTGAAACTTATTGAAATAAAAAATTGAAATTAATTTTTCTATTAAATAAAATTTCCTTTTATTACTAATCAAATCATTATCAATAAAAATGAATTAATTATAAATTTATAAACCATGAACGAAGAGGTTCGAGAAAGTTATTAAAATAAATAAATTAAAATAAAATTCTATTAAATATATTACACTTTTTTTTTTACTAATTAAATCATAATAAATAAATAAATCATATCGAAGTTAAGAATTACTTTTTGATTTAAAATTAGCATGATAAATTTTATTTATTAAATTTTTCATCTCATATAAATATATATTTTAATTTTTTATTTATATTTATTTATATTTTAAATTTGAATTATGTAAATTTTATATTAATTAATTTTAAATTAATTTGATATATATTTCTTCAATGGTTTTCTTTCAAATTTAAAAGGAATTTTACTTACTAATTAAAATTAATTTTAAAATTAGTTATCAAACAAATAATATTTTTATAATAAGAATGTTGCTAACTTACCCTATGAGCAGTGATGTACATTTTTGATGTCCCAAATATTTGTTGTTCCAACTATATGTTCTAGCTATATGTTCCAATATGTTCCATACTATGTCCTAATTGTTCTATCTGTTCCATCTGTGTCCATCTATGTCCTAACTATGTTCTGTAGCAATACTGCCCCTGGGTGAAATAATCTGGGTTATATCACCCTCATATAAAATTTAATAATTTATATATTATTATAATAAAATTGAAAATTTTAATGATTTTAATAAAATATAAAAATCGTAAAATTCAAATAAAAGTATTTTATTATTTTTCACAAACAATTATTATATCAAATACATAGCATTTAGTATACAGTATAAATTCACACATTTAGACATCAAGGGGTATAGTGACCTGCTTGTTTACATTTTTGACAGTGTCTTATTCGTCTCAAATTACTAGCTACTTTGTTTTTATTATTTAAGTTTTGATTGTCAACTATATTAGTCATATTAGTAATATTCTGCATCTGTCATGCTTTTTTCTTTAGTTGTACTTAACCTTCTGATTTATATCGTTTAGGTTGCTAACCTTTATATTGCACACATATTGGATCTCTAATAGTCAGATTTTTAACATTAAAGTTTTCTTGTTTGTCTAATTCAACTTTCATATTTTCAATGAATACTTCCAAGTAATTAACAAAATCATCAACTTTATCTGCTCAAATTGTATAATCAAGTGCTTTTTTAGAAAACCTATACCAAAACTATACTTTTGTTTAAGACCTTTCATTGGCTCAATATTAGTAATATTTCTGACGCTTCTAAGTTGATTAAATAATAATGGTTGAGATGGAAGTTAATTCAAATTATTTTCAACAACTTGATATATTGGAATTGAAAGATGAGTTTGCTGATCAATATTTGCTTTTTTGTTATTATACTATCAATTTGGAATAAGTGTAATATGAAAATATGTATTTGAAGAGTAAGATATAACTTTAAAAAAGTGTTTACAAATAATGTCACAATTAATAAGCTAAAGACAAGTATATAGGTGAGATCTATCATAAAATATAATAACATATTGGGATATTATTTGCTGAGATTGATACCTTGTTACTTTTCATATTTCTTTAATATTTTGATATGGTATGTTGTTAATTAATGAAGGAAATAAAGCTTAAGGTTGATTATAATTATTTTCTTTTGCTATTTCTGATTGAATAAAATCATTTATTATCTAAAAAATAAAGAAAATTTAATGACTAAAGATGGTTCTTATAATTATTTTTAAATTTTTAACTAGTTGCAACTTAAATTGCAACATTTTATGAATTTTTATATTAAAATAAATTTACAAGGAATTGCAACTTCTTAATTATGGTGCCTATCTTTATTAAGGACAAATTTAACTTCATAGTTTTAATTTAAACCAACCCTAATCCTAACCTAACAAATCCTAACAAATCCTAACAATCTTAATAAACCTTAACAACTTCTAATAAATCCTAACTAATCTTTTTTTATTTTAATTTTGTTGATCTAATTTAATCTTTCTATTTTCTGAAATCAGATAACAATTTGCTTCGATATATCATTAGCCTTATTTTAGAAGTTATTTGAGATAATAGGCAAATCATTAGCATTATGATAATATTAGGACTAATATATATAATAATCAAGTATAGCAGATATTTCTGAAGAAAATTTGTAAAATTTTTTTAGAAATGAAATGGTTGATTTTTATTTTAGATTAATGTTTGAACCTGAATTGATTCCAATCTTATGAAGTTACTATATATATTTAAAAATTGCTTGCAAGAACATCAATGATATGCTAATATTACCTCTTCGTAATATACTCCTGGCTGTCCTACTACTACTATGTGTCTTCCTGGTATTGACGTTACTTGACGAGTCCAGAGTCTTGCCTAAGATTAGAAATAAAAAAATTTAAAAATTTTGAAATCATTTAATAATGTATAACATATACAATCATACATCGATCCAATTGTCCATTTGCATTTCATGTAGCTCTTAGACTATAAATTTTAATTCCAAATACGTATCTTATATATTGTTGTTGCATCCAACAATTACACTTTTTATTTCAACCTTTCTGACTCTTATAACTTTATGATACTACAATTTTGCACATGATTCTTGCGTAGAGTCTTCCTTATACAGTATAATTAATTTATGTTAAGACTAGGAAAAATTAGGAATAAAATCTGATATGACAGAACCAACTGATTAGTAAACTGGGGGAATTTCAAGATGTCAAAAGTGGTTCTACGATGAATTATTAGTCTATATTGTAAAAGTGGAGCTGGAATTAGAGGTTTCAGAATAATTGTCAAACCTGAGTATATAGAAATATCAGATGCAAACAGATTTCTGTTTTCACGTGATTGATAGTGAGTTATTATAGGACACGAGAAGATTATAAAACTGATAACAATCCTAAGCAACCTAAAGGAATTTTTCTTACCTGAATTACCATAAACTTCTATTGGAGATTTATCAATAACACCTTCATTAGGAATCTTAAAATGCTCTATAAACCGTTCAACAATTGCAAAGTATTTAGCCTTTTCCATTTTAACTATATATATGTTTCCCCTTGAATCGATATCAAATTTATATCCTTTTGTATCATGATGTTTAAAGAAAGTTTTGATTTTTTCCACTGACAAATTCCAGCCTATTTGTATAGGCAAAATATCATACGCGTCAATACTAGGCAAAACTTAATACTTCTATGTGATATTCATTTACCTTCTCTCTTTCAGAGAATTTTTTACGCTTTGAAATTTTTTTCTCGAGACATAATTCAATTAATCATTTTAATTATTTGAAAAAAAAATTATTTGAAAAAGATGTCAATTGTATTTTTTATCATTTTAAGTCAATCAGTTAAGGTTATGCAATTAAGATTACGTAAAATAATTTGAGTCAAACTTATTTTTTACATAGCTGGATAGTTACATGTGATATATTAATTATTTTTAATAAAATTAATGAATCATGTATTTATCCTAATCATATTATTTGCCTAATATAGTTAGTGATTTGTATGAATTGATCAACTTAGGCCAAATTGACCATTGGACAAGTTGATTACGAGACGAATTGACTTCTGGCAAAATTGATCACTGGCAAAAACAATCTCGTCAACTTGTCTTCTGTGCGAGTTTCTTTCAAAATTAATGTATAAAAAGGTGGGATTAATATTTTTTTGGAATGATATCAAAAAATAATAAAAAATTTTCTGATATTCCTCTTAGATAGATTTTTATTTAGCTATAGTTATTTTGCAACAATCGACATTTAATAAAGATTGATTCTGAGGAGTACATTAAGGCAGTACATAATTAAAATCCTTCTGCTATTACATTCATTTATAAATATAAACTCTAAAGAACTGATCGCAATACATGGTGTCTTCTACTAAAAGAATAAAAAGAAATTATTAATTAATTGTATTTTTCAAGCCCATATTAAACGAAATAATATACACAATAATTATCACTAGATACTGTGCTGAAGAAATACAACTACTTATGATCCTGTAAATATTATTACTAATATTTTACGCTGATTGAGATCAGTTGACTCAATTGCCCTAACTAACTTCTGATCAGCTTAGCCAACTTAATCAACTTATTGTAATATAATTAGTCAATTTCAGTAATTGTCTTTTTTATAATTTTATTGAATAATTACTGTAACATCTTTTATTATTTTTTATAAATTTCAACATGTATTATATAAATATCAAAGGTTACATATTAGTATAATGAATAATTTATCAGATAATAAATCAATGCCAACTGTTTCACATATTCAAATCATTCCAGCTAAGCAAGGATCTGAAAGTTGGTTCAGTCTTTCATTCAAAAAAAAACTAGATGCTGTCAAGTTTTAATTGAAAAAAATGGTACTAAACGTCAATGTGAATAGTTTTGTTAAGAAAAAACAAATACAACTGACCATTTAAGAAGTAAATATCAAATTATTAATGGAAAAGAAATTGAAGCAATAGAAGTTTCAGAAAATGAAAGAAATTTCCCCCTGAACAAGATAAAATAAAAAAATTACAAGCTGTTTATTAGCATAATTAATAGATAATATGCAAGTTTTTTATGTAATAGATAATATAAAATTTCATGAATTTGTTAAAGAATTAAAGCCATCTTATCCAATTCCATGTAAAATAGTTTATATAAAAAGATAAGTGAAGCTGTTAGTACAGGAGAAAAAAATTTATATGAGTACATGAAAAATTTTATAGACATATTTTTTTTTACAACTAATCTATAGATACAAAATCATTCATTCTATATAGGAATCACAATTCATTAGATAGCATCAGTATTACTTATAATTGCAAGTTTTAAGTATTCATATTTAGGTAATAATATTGAAGATTTCTTGCGTAATGAATTTCAAAAATAGAAACTTATGGTAAAATCATTTGGAGGAATAATTGATAATGATTCTTCAATGATAAAAGTAATACATCAATTAGAAATAAATCATATTTATTGTATAACACATATTATGCAACTGGCAATTAAAGATAGGCTTAAAAATATCAAAAATCTAATTGATATAGCAAAAAAATTAAATAATTTTTATATTAAATTATAATAAATATTGTAATTTATTATAAGCAACATTTTGTGAGATAAATTCAAATGGTAAGATTAAGGTTACTAGACGAAATCAAGAGTTTAGATAGACGTTTAAATGGTAAAAGTAAAACTTGGTTAAATTATATTAAAACCTTATTAAA